CTTAGTGTATCTGAACAATGTCAATTCCTGGTTTTCATATTGTACTACAATTCTATTTAAAAAATCTCACCATTGGAGGAAGATAGTGAAGAGGACATACGACTCTATAAATATTTTAGGAACTTCCTGTGGGTACATAATAATTCTAAAACATATTTTAAAATTGCACTGTTATTATCACCAATATTTTCAGAAATACCATGAAGAATTGGGAAAGTATCAAATCCATGTTAATAGATGTGAATTTTTTAAATATTTAAAATTCACATGAATGCTCAAAATATCATCGACAACAACCAGTCACTTGTCTGCCAAATTGTTAGCTCAAATCTTTCATTTTCAAGAAAATGTCTAGCAACTACCCAAACCTTCTGGGCTGTGCTCCTGCTTTCAAGTAAAAAAAAAAAATAGAGTTCTATGGAAAGCCAGCTTGCTGCTCCCACTGCAAACCATGCTCCAGTGCTCTTCCTAAGACCCTGTCATGCTTAAGACTTCAGAGGTGCTGCAAGCACCATCTGCTTCATCACGTAGAATAGTAAAAAGGTGTACACTTAAAAGAAAAGATACATCTTTTTTTTTTCATTTCTTTATCAAGGACATACTTAAGCAAAACTTTTTTTTTTCTTTTGCAAATACATGGTGGGTCTCTTTCTCTGGCGATGCATACACGCAACGCTATTAGCATGTTTTAGGGTCACTGATTTTACCTAAGATGACAACAGTTGTGTTTGTACCATCAGTACAAATGTCAACACAGTGAAACCCCTGAACTATATCTTAGTGTTATGATAAAAATATTATTTTCATTATGGAGAGTATCTGATACAGAAATACTCTCAGATATTTCATTGGACCTAAGACATACAGTTTGACAAGTGCTATTCTAGCATTTTCTGTTTCAGTGGGAAATAACCTGATTCTCTACTGCAGGTAATTTTCTTTTTATTTAACTGTGGGCTTATAGGACTTTACCATTTATTTAGGGTGAATAATAATTTTGAGGCATACAAAAAGGTCTGACAAATGTCCTCTAGGATTGGAGGTGAGGAACTATCTCAGCATAGCTATGTCCTACAAACATTAATGAATTCTACATATGATGGTTATCATTCTTAACTTTTTTAGATAAGAAGGAAAAATGTTATATTTTCAGAATCCATTTTTTTCAAAAATTATATGAAAGATATATTATTTGTATTTGCTTTGGTTGAAATTTTTTCTTTTCCTGGTTAGTGTTATATTAAATTTAAAAGTTATTTTTCAAGTGCTGCAACCTTTAAGATTTACATCTCATTAATATTTTATCAATATTAATTGCTATTAATGTATAAAAATATACATTTCTCTTTGCTTTATATTTCTTTGAAAAACTTTTCAGTCTCTCTATTTTTTCCTTCTTATACATTTAAATGTAGTTGGTATTATGAATAGAATCTTTCTTTCCTATTATACTGTTACAAGGTATGGTTGAGCAACCACTTAAAGAATATATATGAGTAATCATATATTTTGTCATAACTTTTTATCTCCACTCCTGGGGATGAACCCAGGGCCTTGTGGATGCTAAGAAGGCATTGTACCCCTAAGTTCCATCCCCACCCCTTCCTTTAAGTGTCACTTTTTTTTATTATTTGGCATAACATTTATTGATGGTTTTCAATAAATATGCCTTATCTTGTAACAAGACTAGATACTTAATTTTTAATTTCTTGAAACTATGTTGAGAAAAATATTTTGAAATTGCGAAGCATATGGATTTTTTAACTTGATGTGTTATATCAATGAATATTTTATATTGATTCATACTTGGGTTCCTAGAATAAACACTAGGTACTAATTACCTTTTATTCTTTCTTCACTTATTAATTTGTGAATGAGAATTTATTCTCATGTTTCAGTACTCAAAGGTACAATAAAATTTCTCACCTCACAGTTCTCCTTTCCAGAGTCTGGATCCTTTTGGCATGTATAGCTGAATACATACCAGTTTTAAGATAACTAGATGCCTGCCCTCTTGTAGTTGACATTAGATAAGTCTCAGGATTTCTTAGAGTCAGGGGACATCTTTTGATCATTATTCTATATTTCCTGGAAAAGTTTTTCAAGTTTTCAACTATCTAGCAGAAAGCAGGCAGATTAAAATTTCAACATTTAAGATAACATCAGGTCCTTGCTCAAAAGACTCCAATTTTTCTTACCTTTATGCTAACAAACATGAATTTGTGTTGGCTGTGAGCCGACCCAGACCTTCCTGCAGGCTTTTCTCTTGGCACTCTCTGGTCCACACATCCTCCAGCCAAGACTCTCTTCCTTGTTCTCCTTCACTTTTTCTTCTTCTCCTCCCCTGTGCTGGGGATTGAACCCAGGGCCTCAATTTATGCCAGGCAATTACTCTACCACTGAGCTACATCCCCCACCCAGCCTTCCTTCTTTTTTTTCTTCCTTCTTTCCCCTCTTCCCAATCACTAACTCATTTTCCACAAGGAATATTTTGAATTCAATACTGAAACATTTACAAAATTTTCTAGAAGATTTTTGCCAATCTTTTTACTGTTTAGCATCAGGACTCATTTTCTTGAAGCAGTACCAAGTTTTGAGGCATCAAGCCCTGCTCTAAATGGAACTTTATTATCTCATCATTAACTTTCCACAACTTTGAAAATGTAGCACTGGATTGTTATTATCCATATTTTACAATCAAGAGAAAATAAGCCCAGAGGACACATGGGCAGCTCCTGAGTGGGTGGATCTCAATTTGACCTCTATGGCAGGACAGCAAAGCTTCTCCTCTCCCTGTGCCCTCCTGTCTCCTACCATAGAAACTGAAAGTGCCAGCTACTCTTTACTATGCACTAAATTATATTTCCACAAAATTCGTATGTTGAAGCCCCAAGGATGACCACTTCAGAAAGTGACTGTATTGGAGATGGGCCCTTTAAAAGATGAGTATTTTTAATGTTTATTGCAGCACAATTCACAATAGCTAAGCTATGGAGCCAACCTAGGTACCTTCAACAGATGAATGCATTAAAAAATGTGACATACATACACTCAGAATATTACTCAACCATAAGAAATAATGACTTTGTGTCATTTGTTGTTAAATGGATGGATCTGGAAACAATAATGCTAAGTGAAATAAGTGAATCCCTCAAAATCAAAAGATTGAATGTTTTCTCTGATATGTGGAAGCTAAATCACAATAAGGGCAGGGAATTGAAGTTCAGTGAAATAGACAAAGAGGAATGAGGGATAGGAAAAGGAAAGACAGTGGAATTAATCTGACATAACTATCTTATATACATATACGAATATACCACAGTGAATCTCACCATTGTGGACATCCAAAAGAAATTAAATTAAAAAATAACTGTGGGTAAATGGCAGAAAGATCAATAGAGGGAAGGGAGTAGGGGTGGGAAGAGGGAAAAGGAAGGAGAGGTACTGGGGTCTGAATTGGAACAAGATATATTCCATGCTTGTATAATTGTGTCAAAATGGATTCTACTGTTATGTATAACTAAAAAGAACCAAAATAAAATAAAACCAAACTAAAATAAAATATTTTATTTTATAAAATAAAATAAAGAGATGATTTTGTTAAAATAAGTTCCTTAGAGTGGCTCTCATCCAAAATGACCTGTATCAATGTAGGAAGGGGTGATTGATTAGGGCATAGATAGCACAGGCAGAAGGTGATTCATATGAGGACACAGTGAGAAGGTGGCCATCTGCAAGCTGAGGAGATAGTCCTCAGGAGAAACCATAGCTTTTGACACCTGGAATTTTGACTTAAATCCTCCAGAACTGTGAAAAAGTAGATTTTGTTGTTTAGGCCACCTAGTCTTTGGTACTTTGTAATGCAGCCCTAGCAAGCTGGTAATGAAGTACCTATAGGCAGACTATGGTGCAGTTAGATGTGGGCACACAACTAGGCCCCAGCAGTCAGATGCATTGTTCCCAATGTTGACTCAAGAGTTACTTATGAAAAAAGAAAGGATTTTTGAGAAGGGAGGTAATTACAACAACACAGGGGTGATAGGGCAGCAAATACTGTGGAATTTCAGCTGCTTAAGTTATCCTGCCTGAGCAGGTTGGCAGGTACCACCTGCAGAGGCTGGAGCTCAGAAGAGGAGCCCATGGATGCTAATAGGAGGACTTCCCCAGACTTTCTGTGCTGCCCTTACTTGGTAGATCTGAGTCCAGTTCCCTGACCTATTGGGGATTCCGAGGCAAACGTGGTATTCACTAATTTGTTTTTTTTTTTCTATTCAATTCATTCAAAGTCCATTTCTATTTCTTTTTTTCTTTTTTTATTGTTTGTTCAATAAATTACAAAGCTCTTGACATATCATATTTCATACATTTGATTCAAGTGGGTTATGAACTCCCATTTTTACCCCGTATACAAATTGCAGAATCACATCGGTTACACATCCACGTTTTTACATATTGCCATACTAGTGACTGTTGTATTCTGCTATCTATTTCTAATTAGTAAAAGCTCTGACTTACAAATAGTCTCATTCCAGCAAAGAGGAAGCTTGTCCATACATTTTCAGATGTCATAATTGTAGGCAACTTAACAGTGCTTCTCAAAGATATCCATTACTTTTTGAGCTCCCACATTCTTCCTTCATTGAGTTCTTACCTAAATTCAACGTATCTGCTTTTACTGCAAGCTGGAACCAGAGTTCAACGCAGGCAGAGAATGGACTAGCTTTCCAGTTTCCTCAGGGTCAGCTCTGCACACTTCACCATCCAGACAGAGCACATTCCATCAGCAGGATGATGTTGCTACCACCAGATGGCAGTGCCTCCCTCTCCTCAGATCTGATTTCAACCTTGTGTTCAAAACAAAGGATTGAGCTTGCTGCTGATGGTTTGGGTTAAAAAAAAAAGAGAGAGAGAGACTGTGGGAGGGGGAGGGACTGAAAGACCAAAATTTTTCAGTAATGGGAACTAACTCTTCTGACTGAGGGACCTGGCTGCCTTTCAGGTCCCAAAGCTGTCCCTCCTGTGATCCCAATAAGGAAGAAAGATGCAGAAACTCCTGGGAGTGTGTTTGGTGACTCTGTGGCTTCAGCTGGCCAGTGAGTGGGGTCTGGTGGAGATGGGAATAGGGAGACCCTAGTTTAGAGCCCACTTGCCAGAGAGATGAGTCTGCCTGTGATTTTGGAAATGGGATTTGAAAATTCAGTTACTAACATCTGGTCTCTTGCCTCATTTCTGCCTAGTGGTGAACAGCCAACAACAAGAAGAGAGTTCTTGGGTCCTGAGCATCCAGGAGGGACAAAATGCCACCATGAACTGCAGTTATAAAACTAGTACTAACAACCTGCAGTGGTACAGACAGGACTCAGGTAAAAGTCCTGCTCTGGTGATTTTAATACGTTCAAATGAGAAAGAAAAACACAGTGGAAGACTAGCAGCCACCCTGGACACCTCCACCAAAAGAAGCGTCCTGTCCATCACGGCTTCCCAGGCTGCAGATGCTGCCACTTACTTCTGTGCTACAGATGCACAGTGATCAGCAGGCACCTGCAGCCCTGACGCAAACCCTGCCAGGGCTGCTTCCCAGAAGCCCTCTCCATGGGTGGACTTGGTGGTTTCACATCCTCCATGAAGGAGGGAAGGGAGACCGTTCAAATCCGTGGCTTTTTTTTTTTGAAGCATCTTGAAATAGGACAAAGGTCATGAAATATGGAATGGGAACTGCAATGCCAGGCTCAGTTCTGCCCATCCTGGCTCCATGTCCTCAGGCTCATCCTTAGTGTAGCAGTCTTCTAGCCTCATTCAAGGTGAAGGATTTAGATCACTGAGCCCAAAAGATCCTTCATGTTCTAACTCAGGAAGAAAGTAAATTCTCAACCGCGGATCCTAAAATGCTGGGCTGTAAAGGTGGGCTTCTAGGATCAAGTACATCTATTTATCTTCACTCCTACTAAAATAAACAAACACTGACTATAGTTTTCTTGACACAGATTTGACACTATTGAAAATGTGTGGAGGGAGTCAGGACATTCATATTTATGTGCATGCTTGATGAAAAATATGCAGAGGGCAGGGGAAATGTGGAAGGAGGCTATGGTTCCCAAAAGCCTCACCTTGACCTGTCAGTATCTCCTGTGATAGAGTCACCCAGAGCACCCCTGGAGATCTGGATTATTCGGCTCAGTGCTGGCTCACTCAGGCTCTGATGAGTGATGAGTTTGTATATTTAATGAACATCATTAGCCTTATTTAAAGATTGGCAGAGCTTCTCATTACAGAAAACCCAAGGAGGAGTTTACTTTTTAACAAGAAAGTTACTTTTCTCTCATATAAAGCAGTTCTTTAAGAAGCCAGAATAGGGGGCTTTGTCATGTTATGAGGGACCCAGGGTCTTGGGGTCTTTTCAGCTCAAAATTTCTTGTCCTTCAGGTGTCACTGTGGATTTACACTCCCAAGAAACTGCTAGAGATCTTTCCACTTTTTACCCCTTTTAGGCCAAGAGAAGGAGTGTAACAAGCACACCTGCTGGGGAGGCAGTATTTTCCCAAAGCTCCACCCACCAGCCTCCACAGACTTCACTCACCAGAATCAGCACCCCTCCAAACTGCATGGGTTCCAGGATATTTTTTTTTAATTTGTATTGTCACCCACATCAAAATTGTTTGGAAAAAATAGGAATAAAATGGACATTAAATAGGCAACTCACAGTTCCTGTCAGTCAGGACTAACATTATTTTTCTCGATGATAGTTTTTCGTTTTTATTTACTCTATTGGTTCTTTCTCTGAGTTCTGTTGAATTTATCTCCTAAAATTCTTCCAAAAGATGTCACAACCTCTACAACATAATTTTCCCCACATTCTAATTAAAAGCCTAATCCCTTGCTCCTCTGCCCCAGTGCACTTGACACACCCATCACGCCAGTGTTGACTTTTGCATTGCAATGAGAGTGATATTGTCAGAGTGACAGTTTACCCATGCCAATCACCTGGATCCTGATTTGCTGTTATTTATTTTTTTAAAAAAATTATTCTAATTTGTTATATATGATAGCAGAATGAATTACAATTCATATTGCACATATAGAGCACAAATTTTCATATCTCTGGTTGTATACAAAGTATATTCACATCATTCATGTCTTCATACATGTACTTAGGGTAATGATGTCCATATCATTCCACCATCTTTTTTACCTCCTTGTCCCCTCCCTTTCCCTCCCTCCCCTTTGCCCTATCTAGCGTTCATCTAATCTTCCCACGCTCCTCCTCCCAACCTCACTATGAATCAGTCTCTTTATATCAGAGAAGACATTTGGCACTTAGTTTTTAGGGATTGGCTAACTTCACTTAACATTGTATTCTCCAACTCCATCCATTTACCTGCAAATGCCATGATTTTATTCTCTTTTATTGCTGAGTAATATTCATTGTGTATATATACCACATTTTCTTTATCCATTCATCTACTGAGGAGCATCTAGTTTGGTTCTATAGTTAGCTATTGTGCTGAAATAAATATTGATGTGGCTGTGTCCCTGTAGTATACTGTTTCTAAGTCCTTTGGATGTACACCAAGGAGTGGGATAGCTGGATCAAAAGGTGATTTCATTCCCAGTTTTCAAAGGAATCTCCATACTGCTTTCCATAATGGCTGCACCATTTTGAAGTCCCAACAGTAATATATGAGTGTGCCTTTTTCCCCACATCCTTGTCAACACTTATTATTGTTTATATTCTTAAGAGCTGCCACTCTGACTTGAGTGAGATGAAATCTTACAGTAATTTTGATTTGCATTTCTCTAATTGCTAGAGATGTTGAACATTTTTTCATATATTTGTTGAATGATAATATATCACCTTCTGAAAAGTGTCTGTTCAGTTCCTTAGCCCATTTATTGATCCAGTTATTTGTTTTTTTAGTGTTTATCTTTTTGAGTTCTTTATATACCCTAGAGATTACTGATCTATCTGATGTGCCAGTGGTGAAAATTTGCTCCCAAGCTGTATGCTCTCTGTTAAATTCTCTGATTGTTTCTTTTGCTGAGAAGCTTTTTAGTTTGAATCCATCCCAATTGATTCTTGATATTAATTCTTGTGCTAGAGGAGTCTTATAAAGGGAGTTGGGGCATAATCTGACATGATAGAGATTTGGGCCTACTTTTTCTTCTAATAGACACAGTGTCTCTAGTTTAACTCTTAGGTCCTTGATCCACTTTGAGTTAAGTTTTGTGCATAGTGAGAGATAGGATTTAATTTCATTTTGTTGCACATGGATTTCCAGTTTTCCTAGCACCATTTGTTGAAGAGGCTCTTTTCTCCAATGTATGTTTTTGGTGCCTTGTCTAATATAAGGATAACTGTAGTTATGTGAGTAGGTCTCCATGTCCTCTAATCTGTACCACTGATCTACCAGTCTATTTTGGTGCCAATATCATGCTGTTTTTGTTACTAGTACTCTGTAGTATAGTTTAAAGTCTGGTATAGTGATACCACCTGCTTCACTCTTCTTGCTAGGGATTGCTTTAGCTATTCTGGGTCTCCTATTTTCTCAGATAAATTTCATGATTGCTTTTTCTGTTTCTATGAGGAATGCCACTGGGATTTTGATTGTAATTGCATTAAGTCTGTATAACACTTTTGGTAGTTTGGTCATTTTGACAATATTAATTCTGCCTAGCCAAGAACAAGGGAGATCTTTCCATCTTCTAAGGTCTTCTTTAATTTTTTTCTTTGGCATTCTGTAGTTTTTGTTGTAGAGGTCTTTCACCTCTTTTGTTA